CTTGCGATGGACTGACGTTCTCGGCCGAATTCGGTTACTCGAAGAATCATCTCTTCCAGCGAGATGTCTCCATTGCCGTCCACATCCAAGATGTCGAAGGCCTCGTGGGCCTCTTGTTCCCTTTCATGGCCAAGGACATCGACGATATCGTCAATGGTCAAGGCATCCTTGCCCTCGAGGACGAAGGACATCCAGAGGCGTCGAGCAAGGGCTTCGGCCGAGTGCTTCTTTTCTAACGCTTGTACGACGATTGAATGAGAAGCGGTGGGGCTGAAAACCTTCTTGCCAGTAATTTCTTGGGCGACGTTGCCAAACGCTGCTGTGACCTTGTCGCCAACTCGGGCAACGTTCTGAATCAGTCTCATAGGCGTAGCCGAGCCGGATCGCTTGTGGCCGGGCAACATGCTGTTTCGGTTGCTGCGCTCACCAAGATCGAGGACATCGTTGATGAGATAGTCTTCCTCAAGAAATTCCCGCGAATATTCTGGGAAAAGCTTCCGAGAAGCCTCATAGAGCAAGCCGACCAGGTGGACGTTTCGTTTGGAATCTTTGATCCTGTCGTCAAATTGCTTGCGGTGGTAGCTGATTGAGAGAAGCTGGATGAGCACCTTCTCCCCGAGCAAGATCAGGGTTGAGAAGACGCAGGCGAAGAGTATATTCTTCACAATGCTCTCCCAATCCTTCAAGCTGGTCTCTCCACGTGATCTCTGGTCGGGATTGAGAGTCATGATCGGAACGAAAGTTGCTAATGATGTGACTGCCCAGCCAACCAGCGAAAGAGGTATCTCAAGCGCGCTGAGCATCAGGGCATATTTTCGTGTGCCTGCGCTTACCACTCCACAGATAAATTGGAAGAGAAATGGGATGTAATGCGCCAGCATCTTGGAGACCCAGAGCGAAACCCATACCACCTCAAGCCACGTGAAGAACCAGACAATTTTGACGCCTCCAATCCGAGCTCTAGGAGCGACCGTGGCACCGACTATGATGGGGACGGCAATCGCCAATGCGAGCGGAGCGACATAGATGAAGTAGCGAGTAAGAACCGAAAAGTTGTAGACCTTCCTGTAGAATCGGCCCACCGCATTCAACGAGCCGTCATCCTTGTCCTTGTTGCTCCGAGCCTGATCAACCAATCTTCTTCTCCTGCCTCCGGGTCCTCTGTGAAAGTGGTGACCTTGCTTCTCATCCATCTGATTGGGGTCCCAGCCGGCGTCGTATTGGGTCGTTGAGGGAGAGGTCGCGTCGGCCTTTCGAGCACCGGTAGTGCTGCCGGTCGTGTTGACCTTGGTCAGCGGAATATCAATAGTAACGTCGTTAGGGTTCGTCATCTCGGGGGACGTTTTGCGGTTAAGAGGTTCAAAGCCGTCCTTGGAAAATTTCTTGTAGTGACCGTGTTGTGACATCCCGCGAGTGCTGTCACACCCGAAGGCTCAAGTGAAGGGAAAGAATGTGGACAGTACCGGCAGTATCTTCTCAGATAGTGTGGTACGTGGAATGAAAGAGTCCAAGGACTCGGACGCGTTCTCTGCCTGAGAGTAACGCGGTCTGTTCAGAAAATGACCTGGTTTCAAGGCTGATTGACCAGGGTGTAACCAGGCAAACGAGGGCGATCTGAGCAGGGGATGAGATGGATGAAATCGTGTTACAAGGAAATCGAGAGGTGGTTACGTGGGCTACCACCTGTAACAAGGAAAGATGTCGAGAAGTAAGCGAGTGTTGGAAGATGAAGAGTGAACAAAGACGATGAAAGGGAGTGTTGGACGTTTCCAATGTCAGTGCTATGTACTACGCACTGCTCCATCGTGTCTCCATTGTGCACATAATAAATTTTCGAGGTTGCTCCTCCCCATGACGAAGTCGTGTTTCCAAACCAGCGGCTCCCCTGTTGATGGAGAGCAAACTGGGGAACGGTGAGAATCCTTCTGGCCTGATTTGCCCGGTTCAAGCGAGAAGTTAGTGGCCGACTGGGCATTTTCGCCAGGAACCGCTCCGCCTGTGGCCACTTAACGGCCGTCGGGCAACTGCGCCCTGTCCAGACCCTAGCGAGAATTTTTCCAGGCGTGCAAAGCCCATATGTCACTGGGCCGTTTGTGCCCGAAACTCACGTCCCGGTAAGGAATGGTGCTCGGATGTGGCTGGCGCCACGGCTGATTTGGCTTGCATCTCAAACAAGTCTTGAAACACGACCACGCACTTGGCGGCATTCTTGCCCACCGCGGTCCCCGATGCATGCATCTCGGCGTACTGAGGACAAACATAGAAGTATGCAGAAGTTTCCAGCGAGCGTGGATTACCCACACCCTTCACTCCTCTTTTCGCAAACTATCAAACGGTGGATATGCGGGATGGTGACCTCGGTGCCAGATTTTACACAGTACTGGGTACGGAGTACTGCTGCGTAATAAACCCGCAAAGGCAGTGCAGGAGTTACGCAGTCATTGGGTTGTTTGACCGATCAGTGAGTGAGAGATGAGCATCAGCACCAATTTCGCGTCATTGGTCCCGCGAGATTGTTCGGACTGCTGCTTCCTGTTAATCTCACGTGCGGCATTGTCCCGATCACACGCTGATCTCTTAGTACTTCTCTCACATCGTGTCTCTCCTGTCGATTGTCAGCTCTCCGGGTGCGCTCATTCTCAGTACTATGAGACCATTAATGTTGGTAGGATTCGTCGAGAATCAGGATTCATACACAAGTGACATGCATTGCGTGTATCCCCAGGAGCCTCAGCATTTACCAGGTATCACCCCAGTCTTGCTCGTTGAGAGAATAAATCAACCTGCCAGACCTTCGGTAGATCATTAGACGTCTATGGCTCAATCTGGCACCTGAACAAGATTCTGGATTCACAGGATGATGAAACAACAAAAACTGTACCACAACCTCTCCTCGAGCTGAGAGGCTGTGGTAGCAGTTTCATCACCACCAACATTCTTTGATTGGGCTATATCCAGTGGCCAGCCGGTCTACTCCCATTTCGCGAACATCTTGTAGATGAGCGCCGATTTGACCCGAGTCAAGTACGCAAATGTTGTTGAGCTTTTGTTATTGTCGGGGTCGAACGATGTTTCGGATCGAGGGGAGGCGTTTTTTGTCGATGTCGAACTCGGAAGTCGAAGGAGGGTTCGAAAGTCGTTGGAGGGTTGTTGAGACAACTCGTCAGTGGAACGCCTTCTAGCCCGGTGCTAGTTTGATCCAAACCACCAAGGAAATTGTGGGAACATTTTTGGCATCTTCAATATATCAAGGGCAAAGGTGCGGCAAAGAAGGTAGTCAGGTGACTGTGTAAGGGCAGGGAGGTGGTGAAGGAGACGTTGGCGTGAGTCCAACGTGACAGAAATCAAATCCAAGATGAGGTAAGTTGGCATTCCATGATTTCTACAGCCAATGTTCCACAATCTACAGGGTGGCCTTTCCAAATCGCGGATCCTGGCATGATCTGGCCTGGCGTTCAGACACATTACCCAACGCTCGAAACCACGAGACCGCTTGACAAGGACAGAACCGCCTCGAACGCTTCCCATGGCAAAGCCGACCGCCCGGCGAAGGGGTCCGACGTTGCGACCTCCAGCGGCCCGATGGCGTAAACAATGGACCTGGACAAAGCAAGCAATCCTCCTCAGTCTCGAAAGGGGCTTGTCCCTTCACTGTTCTGCCTCCTTTGTAGCTCTTTCAAGATCTCCCATCGACCCGGTACAAACTGTTGAAGCTTTGTTCCAATCATCACTGCTCACAGCAAAGAGGTCCAAGAATATGGCCAAGACTTCTGTTGATATATCCCCCTCAGCACCTATTCTCACAGAGCAACCGGCAAACCGTAGAGGGCTCGCGAAAGACCACTATTTCGCAGTAATCTCCGGTTAGCGACTGTTGCCGGAGTCCAGATCTGCACCTGCGTATCATTGAACACCAGCATCTTCATTCGTCATGCCGTGGAAGTTTCTTGACATGCAAGATAGGCACCCTCGAGGCACGCCAGAGGCACCACAGCATGGAGGGCTAAGACAGATCCCAGTGCAGAAGACACGGATGAGAAAAGTTGTCGACGCAAACTGAAACACGTGGCTGGTGAGGGGAGTGGTCAGAGAAGACGGCTTCGAACCAGTTCGCGAGCAATGTCGTCCTAGAGCAACCTATCAGCATCAATATGAAGCACGGCATCGACCACCACACCATCCCAACCATGGAGTCCGGCAAGCATCGCATTCGCTGGGACCGACCGGACCCGTGGAAGATGATGGTCAACCACATGCCAATGAGGCAGACCATCGCCCCCAGTTCAACTATGCTCCTCATCCGCAGCAAGGACGCCGTCGAGCCCCGCCTTTTCACCATCAGGAAGACCCATATCGTGCAGCTGAACGAGCGCGCCGAGAAGCGAAGAAAGCCATGTACATCAAGTGGCTTGGGTTCTTCATCTCGTGAACACAAAGCCGTTGTATGGACCACAAGGAAGGTCAACTGACTCACAAGGTGAGTCTCTGTGTGTTTGAGAGAAGCGTGCCCTTCAGAAGGCACGAATAAAAGGTAGGCTAATGCGGATACCAAATAACCAGCAGCGAATCTTGACCTCTCGTGTTCCCAACCCCGTCAGTGCACATAACGCATCACTTACATGATTAGAGAGATCAATCAATAACACTGCTTATTCACGCTACTTTCATACATGACTACCCAACAACACCGTCGGCTGGTTGGACGACTGCAGTGGCCAACCAGATGGTATGAAAGGTGAAAGGGATATTCCGTGCTCAGGGTTCTAGTTATGTATGCAACTACCCCAGCTTTCCTCCACAAAACTCCTTGGCTGAATGTGCCTCGGAGCATCGCTCGCTCTTCGCTTCCGGTTTCTCCTTGAGCACGTTACCTACACTCAGAGAGAGCTGGATTCTGAAAGAACGTATACGACATTCGATTCGACCATGTAACAGTTCCTGGTCCTCACGTACTGTTGTCCGAAGACGGAAAGGTGCCTAACACTCCTCCCCAGCTGGAAATGTCACCTCCATCCTCAGCAGCACGGCGCTTGGAGCAGGTGCAAGGCCAGATAGGTCGCACGTCAATAGATGGCAACGAGACCACACCGTTCCCAGATCTCCCATCTGGTGCCCGATATCTTCACCTGAACAATGCAGCCAAACGAAATGCATTATCCGTCGCCGTCCTCCAAGATCTGCGCGACCAGCTCTCCGCCTACAACACATCCCCCGTAGACGGCCGGGCTCGCTTCCTACCGCCATTCGAACCAAGCATCCTCGCAGAACTGGAAAAGGCATTCTATCATCCCAGCTCCGAGGCCGGCAGGACCTACGGCTGGCTAGTCCACGCGGAGCAGTGGAAACGGCACAGATCCAATCTTCCACGCGTGATCGTGATGCGCGGTGACGGGCCTGTGTTCTGCTCCGGCCACGACCTCCACGAAATCCGCCACGTGAGCTACGCGCAAGCCAAGGATCTGTTCGACCTCTGCGCCGAAGTCATGTCGCTGATCCGGCGGTGTCCCGTTCCTGTGATCGGGGCGATCCAGGGGCTAGCCACGGCCGCGGGGGCTCAACTGGCGCTGACGACCGACTTGCCCGTCGCCCACGCGTCTACGCCGTTCCGCCTGCCAGGCTCGGGCATGGGCTTCCCGTGCATATCCCCCGTCACGGCCGTGTCACGGAAAGTCGGCAATGCCTTTGCGTATGAGATGTTCGCGCTGGCAAAGCCTTATCGCGCAGACGAGCTCCCTGGCCGACTGCTGCGAGTGCTGGACGATGACGCCCCGCTTGACCAGGCCGTTGACGAGATGGTCGCTTGTTACACGCAACAAACCGCAGCCCAGCCGCAGGCTTTTGGGAAGTGGGCTTACTGGACGCAGGCGGGCATGCACGCGAAAACGTCGACCGCGGATGGATACGAGGATGCAGCGGCATGGGCAGGGTCTGCTATGGCACTACTGGCGCAAACGAGTGATGCAAAAGAGGGGATTGGTGCGTTTTTGGAAAAGAGGAAACCGTCTTGGTATACGTGAGTGAGGTGCGTGAAGCTGGTAACAGGAAGGCTTTTGTCTCAATCTCCCTTGCAGACTCGAAGTTGTTGTGTAATGCCTGCCCATGTTCTTTTGATATTGCTTGACACGAGCTTTCAGAGCATGACCAGAAGGGCTCGCGAGAGTATTTGCTTTTCAGGTCTGGATAAGATAATACGACTACTTGTCCCACGGGAATGGCTAATGTAGTAGAGACGGTAGGCGTTACATGTTTGGCCACGCGACTGAGCACCATATCAAATGTGGAGAAGCAGAGAAAGAACCGAGAAAGAAGGATTTAGAGGAAACGATCAATTGCATTCGTCTATCTGCGATGAAGAGCCATCATATCGTCAGGAACTTCTATCGACAATTCATCGGGAAAACCCCTAATGAAAGTTGGCTGCTGCTGGGAAGCCTGCCCAGCCTGACTTACCTGATTTCACACCCGTCCCCTTTTTTTTTGTTGTTTTCGTTGTTGTTGTTGTCAAGGTCAGTAGAAGCTTGCTACTGCACCCCTGGCATTTTCAGACACTGCTGGATACCAAAACAGCGGAGTGCCTATCTTACATGTCTTTTTCCGTACTCCAGGGTCACCCCGGTGTCACTTACCTTGCCGCTCGTCAATCTCCGAGTAACTCACTCACTCTCTCACCTGGTCACATGGTGTGAGGACTTATTTTCGAGTCAGAGAATAGCCACTGATGTGGCCTTCGCTGACACCACCACGGCGCTGCGAGCCAGAGCTGTAAGTGCCGGTATTGTAAGAACCACCAGTGAAGGTGCGGGAGTCGAAGGTGACAGCGTCAGCGAAGCGCTGAGTCGAACTGGAGGAGCTGTCATAGGAGCGAGATGCAGAAGAGGAGGAGGAGGAGGAGGAGGAGGAGTAGTAAGATGAGGAAGAAGAGGAAGGCATCTTATCTGGGTGTTGCAGAGAAGATCCGAAAGGGTTTTGGGTGTGTGTTTTGGTAGTTTTGGTTGCTGGAGTGAGTTCTTCACTTTTGAGTGTCAGGAATTGACTTATTGCTCCCAAAACTGAAGATCTGTGTTTGGTGTGAGGAGAAGAAAACGTTGAATCGTGGAAAACTTCGAGGCCTAAATACCTTTCGGGTTCGAGTTCTCGAGTGACAGTCGTTGACAAGAGCTTTGTTGAGTCGACTCCTGCGGCCTTGTTTCTGGTTGCCTTGTCTCTGCTTCCCTAGCTTTCATCGTCTTTGTGTGTCTCTTGAAGCCCTCGAGTGCTTGAACAAGGGCGGGATTGTGGATGTTCCTGACTCGGTCCTTGGCTGAGAATCATTGTCTACGCCCGACATCTTTGAGGGTGCCGTGGTCGGAGCATTGTCTTTGCTGATGATCTTCCGACCAATCTGCGGTCTGAAGCTTTGTCCTCAAGGCGGGCTCTTGGACAGTCATTGTCAAAAGCATCGTCCTCGCGGTGTGCTTTTCGACTAGACTCTTTTGAAAGCATTGTCTCCTTGCGAGACTTGAGAGACCGACTTGTTGGTAGAGCGAACAAAGACTCCACAGAAGATTTCACCGAAGATAAATTCTGGCCACACCCACCACGTTGATTGAGTTGGGCTAAACCACAACAACATCTGGTCAAGAGACGAAGCCAGCCTCAAGATATCCAAATCTCCTCTTGTCGGATATTGTACTCTGACCTTCGACCAACTCCTGCCAGGATGCCTTCTTCCCAGTACAGACATGAAACCACCGGCTCTGGAAGCCGACATGGTCAATCTGTGCGTGAAGCTAGTGGCCGCCCGGGCGAAGTCCGTGTGATATCTTACCGCGATGCAGAAGGCGTTCAACGAGTCGTCAGACTGGAGTACAGACCTGATGTTATCCTGGAGGAGCGCCGCCCTAGGAATGCCACTGCATTTGAAGAGCCACCGCAGTCTCTATCAGGAGCATACATCCGACGTGCTGCGGCCCATGAGCCAGCCTCTCAAGACGTCGACCACAGTACGCATCTTCGTCACGACAACCTGGTCGCTCCGCGGGCCGCCAGGAGTCACCCTTCGGTGTGGATCGAGTTCATGATGCATCGAGACGCTCTGGAGGAGCAACTGGCGCGGCTAGACAATTCAATGTCCGCCCTGTATACGAGGAGCGCCGTCCCCGCTACATCGACGACGCTCGAAGATACGGTCATCAGCCGAGCTACCAGCCGAGTGAACGAGAACAACATCCCGATCATCGACCGGCTCGACGACAAGAGAAAGAGCGATATTAACAAAGTATGATCGCCAGAGTCCTGGTCCTGCATGCTTGTAGTCTGCCATCCACCAGCTGTTCAGCTGCGACAAAGCGACTGAGACAGCAAAGAGAAAATTGCCAAAGGTAAGTTTGGGAGGGTTTCCGAACTTTTGTGGTTTCCAAGGAAAACTCTCCCGTACGGAAAGGTAAGCAAGCAACAGGTAATAGTAATAATCGGTTCATTGCTGGTCCATGAAATGATGATCCATTTACAAGGAAGTACTCCGTAGCTGATTCCCACTGACTGTGTTACTTGACATCGTGAGGCTGGGGTGGAATTCCGCCTCGACACAAAGACCGGACCGGGACTCTGTAAGCACACATTGCGAAATATCTCTATTGCGGCTTGTGCGCGCTGCAGAGTTGGAAGCCTTTGGTTTGACTTCACATACATACCACACATCATCCTTCCCGTAGCCCTCGTGACGACCTCGTCCGGTACATTCCTTGTTTGTTGTCGAGCTCGGTCACATTGTGGCTCGATGCATAACTTTCCTCCGTCCATGACCAATATGACGGTTTCTATTACTCGATGCAAATTCCGCGTCGACGTTGCATTCGTCACAAGGCGGACGGATCAGGCCGTCGACGAAGCCTGTGAGACACTGCGCTTACTCGCGGACCGTGTGTTTGTTTCTTCTTCCTTCCGCCACCGAATCCCTATCGGCCCTGCCTCGTGATCGTTGGGTGTACGCCATTGACGTTCATTTTCCTTGTACTGTGTATCGGGTCTTTCGCTGTAAAAGCTGGCGCTCACTGCTCACATTGAGTAGCCCTTACATTGATATTCATCCTTTCCAGTACGAAAGAAGGGAAGCTGACCCATTGAGAGATACGACAATTATCATCATTGAGTATAGCGTACTGTGTCCTGCTTAGCACGAGAGCCAGTACCACACACAGGCCAAAATGTCGTCTTTACTTGCGACCCCAGCCCATACGAAAGTTTCCCCAGAGTCTCAAGATGAGATGTCCCAGTTCGTCTCAATAATCACGGCGGCATTTTCAGATACGGCCCTCACGACGGCTTTCATAGCGGACATCGACTCAACGCCGCCTCCTTACCCGTCACCACTGATCGACCCCGCCCGCCGCCGACGGCACTTCTCTCAGGGCATACTGGACAGTGCAGCTGCGGGTGCCGAACTCGTCCAAGCCGGCAATTGGTCAGCAATAGCACTATGGGAACCTCCGTCTTTCCAAGGGAAGACGTTCATCGACTCGAAAGCACGTCCGCCCGCACTGCTGAGCGAATGGAGAGGCAGGGTCAAGCAAGCAAAGGCGAAGTACTTGGCCAAGCCGTCTCCTCGGACGCCATCCTCGACGGACGAAGATTCCAATTCCGACTCCAACTCGAATGCATCGCAGCCGGACCCGGACTCGGTACAGTTACGACCATTTTATCATCTCTCGTTCCTCGCGCGAAACCCGTCTGTCGGAAGAGTACCTGGGAGTATCAACGCCGTCATAACACCCTTCCTCGAGCGCGCGAAGGCCGAGAACGTACCGGCCTGGCTCGAGGCCACCTCTCTCCAAGCTGTCAATGTTTACCTGCACTTTGGCTTCCGAATTGTGGAGACGATCACAGTGGGTGCAGGCAAAGTCGACGCCGCGGGATGGCCGGCAGAGGACGGAGAGGGAGTCACGGCATGGGCCATGATCTTCGACGAGCATCTGACAGGTTAGGGCGGCCACCGTGACGAGAGTTCAGGCGTAGGCTTACGAAAAACTATCAGAGGTCAATGGCCATGGGCAAGGCGAGTCTGGAAGAAGACGACGTGTTCGAAGAGGCGAGTAAGAACACGACGGGCGATACAACGTGGATGAGATGGCCCGGAGGTTCTTGAAGCGCTGGTATCCTACTGTAGATTGAGCTTGGAGAGCCCTGGGGAGTCAAATTGCAACGTTGTGGACCACCGCGGAGCATCATTAGATGGGTACGGTCTGAGGCCGTGCACACGGACCGCCTCCGCTGGTTAAGGTTGGTTATACGGACAACAGATATTTGCAAGTATTCATGCGGGTGTTTGGCTCAAGTTCTAATCCTTTTCATACGCCCATACAGAATAACGGCAAACCATCGACACCTAACGAGGCCAGCCTTGTGAGCCTTGTGGCCTTGCAGGTCGGAAAAACTGCGGCTGCGGGGATTCGCGACCGTGTTCGATTCCATCATTCCTGCAATGTTGTTAGCGGGAAGACAGACTCTTGACTCAGACGCATGTCCCCCACTACCTCATAATACAGGGCGAATCGTATGAGTTGATACAATTTGGCTCTATGCACTCTTCTCAACTTGCGATCTCAAGCCAATGTGCACTCTGAACTGTCTCTTCTTCATCGCCAGACTTGGAGCAGCCAGAGCATCTTGTAGACCCAGTTGTTGTAAGATGGCATCCGAATCATGCTCCGCCATCCGCCCAATCTCTGCAGGTGTAGTAGGGAATGTAGGAATGATCGCGCCCGTTAATCGGTGGAGAAAGGGCGAAAGCATGATCCGATGGACCTGAAAGATAGGTGTTTTGACTCCGGCGGCATTGTTGATATCGCTATACAAGATTAGTATGGTAATACTGAATGAATTTAAGGGCGAGATATACCTCATACGCAGTGTGGTAAGAAGACTCTGATGAGAAGCCGTGAGTCTCTCTTCAAGATGGGCGAACTGTTTTTTATTTCTCTCTTCAAGAACGGCCGAATTGTTCTCTGGTTTCGTTTCTCATTTGTTGAATCTCGGCAAGAATTCTGTCGCCTCCCGCAATTGCAGGGAGGTTTGGTAATTCATCGATCTCACCGGCAGCAGTACGAAATGCGTGACTGAGCAACCTGGAATCCGCCTGTGGAGCGGAGCCATTTGCTTCAGCCGTGATTGTGATTCTGATGGGCTGGTGATGAGGCGGTGTTGATTTACGGAAAGGTGAGGGGGAACAACTCCAAACGTGGCCGCTCATGCCGCCAAATTCGGCAGGAGGTTCCCAGCAGCTTCCTTTTTTTGGTTTTCCAAGTTCTTCACTTGGGCAGGAGCGCGGATCGTGTCAAGTCCAAGCCCAAAATCTACATATTGCCATGACTGACCTGACCCCAGCTTTGTCCAATATTCTGGTGCAGAAGCACTCCTCAAAAGCGCTCTCTCCACCCTGCGACCTTACGGCCAAGCTAGACTCGTTTCTCCGGGAAGCGTACCAGATCAACAGATCCATATCCTCTCTGTTGGACTATTTACGAGCGATACGGACTCCCTATCTATCAAGCGCCCCTCCTCCGCGCCAGAAACGTGTCGACGTCGAACGCCAGTCGCTGTCTTCCCATATACCGGGCCGGCATGTACCGGAGCATCTGAACGACTCTCAACGTGAAGCCATTGACTCGGAAACGTCCTCAGTCCTACGAGATATCAATAAGAAGATAACAGATCTCAACTCGGCAGTGAGTCTACAGCACGACACGGCAAGTAAAGTCCTTGAGCAAAAATATGGAAAACCCAGTGGAGTACTGTGGCGCTGGGCAGCAGGCGACGGTGATACACCGGACGCAGGCAAACCGCAGGCACAAATCGACGAGGAAGGACAGTTAAGGACATTGAAGATGTTCAGAGACGGCGTCTTGTGGTACCTGGGGAAAATGCTCAAGGACGCTATCACAGTCCAGCAGGAGATGGTGGAGAAGCGCCTCGAGCGCGAACAGCAGAAGCAGATGAGCATACTGTACAACCCGCGGAACAAGGGTGTACGCGCAAACAACGGCATGGAAGCCACCGTAACTGGCGTGTCGGAGGGAATTCCGCCAACCCAGGATCTGCGTGGCCACGACGAATACACACCCTGGACAGAGTCCCAGGGCGGCGTGGAACAGGAGCTCTCGCCCGAGCAGCTCCAGCTATTCGAAGAGGAGAATCGAGGCATCTTCGAGCACTTCAACGACCAGCTCGCCAAGGTCACGCAGGTGGAAAAGTCCCTGATGGAGATTGGGAGTCTGCAGCAGACGCTGGTCGGACACCTCAGTGTGCAAGGGGAGATGATTGATACCTTGGTACAGGATGCGATGAACACGGATGAGAATGTGAGGAAGGGTAATCGAGAGTTGAAAAGGGCCAGTGAGAGGGGGAGTACGGCGAGGCTGGTGTTCTATGCGACGGTGGGGTTTTGCTCCTTCTTGGTGGTTTGGGACTTGGTATTCTGATGAGCAACAAAGAGCTGCAAACGTGTGATCCTTGCTGTTGTGGCATGGGCGGCATCCCCCCTGGAGGCAAGTACCTTGATTCTCGCGTGGCACAATAGTCCGCCACTTAGCCCTCTTTCCCCAGCTCCGTTTCCCGCTCCGGTTTACCCCGATCACCCTTCTGTGGAGAAGATCCCCTCCAAGCCGGGAGGTGGGCGTGAATGGGCGTAGAATCGAAGGGATATGACAATCTTGGTTGAGGGTAGGGGAGACGTAGAGCCACCCCTGGGGGAGCACACTTCAGTAGAACTTGGAACACAGTATGCCTTCGAGCATGTGTATCCCAGAAGCGGGCCTTGCGCTGGCCTGTCACTCGATCTCTGAGCAATGAGCTGTCGCCGATTGGGCCATCCGTGTTGGAGACAAGCCTCGGTGTCCTCGGTGTTGGGGAAGGGAGACTCGCCCGTGACGCTTAAACAACTGATCATGTCTCGATCACCGAATGACCCGAACTCTCTCGTTAGGGTTTCTTGTTCCCGTGTCTGCATGTGCGATTCAGTCCAAGGTACGTACCGTGCGTCCGCCCAGCCTAAAAGAATCCAGACGTGCATCGCCCTGCAATGTCCCGACCGTGCTGCAAGTCTTTCTCCTCGTAGTCACGTCTTGGGAGATTTTTCACGACATGCCCTCGCAGTCCTCACCGCCAAACTCTTCTGACCCTTCCTTCAGTTCCGCTTCAGCTCTGCCTTCTTCCTCTTCCTCTTTTGCGCAGACCAACACCAACGCTCGTTTGAGTCAGATCAAAAATCAGACAATGGGTTCCATCTCGAATGAGCCTACCCACACCCTCTTCGACGAGAATGTCGTGCCTCAAGCTCCGGAGGATCCCCTCTTCGGGTTGATGGCCGCCTACCGAAGGGACACCTTCGAGAAGAAAGTTGATCTGGGCATCGGCGCATACAGGGACAACAATGCGAAACCTTGGGTCTTGCCCGTGGTGAAGAAGGTGGGCAATTAATACACACTGCCCACACAGAAAACAGTCGAGCTTCGACTGACTCTGGTTGCAGGCCGACGAGATTCTGCGGAGCGACCCCAACCTCAACCACGAGTACCTGCCGATCGCCGGTCTCGCCGAGTTCACCTCTGCTGCTCAGAAACTCATTCTCGGCCCAGACAGCCCCGCCATCAAGGAGGGAAGAGTATGTGACTTTTCCCCGAGGAGGGGGGAATTTCTTCTACCGCCAGGAAAAACACTGACTTTGTCACAGGCAGCAACACTCCAGACCATCTCCGGCACGGGCGCCGTGCACCTAGGCGGCCTCTTCCTGTCCAAATTCCTGGCAAAGCCGCACCCGCCGACCATCTACCTGTCCAACCCGACATGGGCGAACCACAATCAGATCTTCACCAACGTGCACCTCCCCATCAAGCAATACCCGTACTTCTCGGCCAAGACGAAGATGCTAGACTGCGACGGCCTCCTCTCGACCCTAAAATCCGCCGAGCAAGGGAGCATCATCTTATTACACGCCTGCGCGCACAACCCGACGGGCGTGGACCCGACCCAAGACCAATGGAAGCAGATCGCCGAGATCATGCGCGAACGCAAGCTCTTCCCCTTCTTCGACTGCGCGTACCAGGGCTTCGCCTCCGGGAGCCTGTCCCAGGACAACTTTGCGATCCGATACTTTGTCGAGCAGGGGTTCGAACTCATCATCGCCCAGTCTTTTGCCAAGAACTTCGGCCTCTACGGCGAAAGAGCTGGGGCGTTCCACTTTGTCGCCGCGCCCGCGAGCAACGCCCCGGACGTCACAAAGAGAGTGGCCAGCCAATTGGCGATCCTGCAGCGGTCCGAGATCTCCAACCCGCCGGCCTACGGCGCCCGCATCGCCGCCATCGTCCTCAACGACCCGAAGCTCTTTGCCGAGTGGGAGAACGACCTGCGCACCATGTCCGGCCGCATCATCGACATGCGCAAGGCCCTCAAGTCGTCGCTCGACAAGCTCCAGACGCCCGGCAACTGGGACCACATCACCAGTCAGATCGGCATGTTTTCCTTCACGGGCATCAGCGAGAAGCAGGTTCTCGCAATCAGAGAGAAATGGCACGTTTACATGACCAAGAACGGCCGCATCAGTATGGCCGGCTTGAACACGGGGAATGTAGAGTACGTGGCGAGGGCGCTGGATGATGTCGTGAGGAACGTCCAATAGGCAGGGATTGTTTTTTGAAAGACGGGTGGGCACAACGACAAACCGCAAAAAGATGTTGCACGCGGCTACTCCGTACCAAACCGAGCGATGGGGGTTATGCCACCTACTGTACCTCGTACACGCGTAGCCGAAGGTTCTGAAGCAGCCCACGGCTGAGACGAAGGCTTCAACAACCTGGGACCATTGACTTTCGCCCCAATACTTGATATTTGTGGGGAAATTAGCATTGCATGGCTAGGTAGCGCCGTCAAGACAGTGTATTTTACGGTAAAACCAAGATTTTCGTAGAAAAAAGACAGACGACCCGAACCCTACCAGGTACCCATACCCTTGGAATGCCGGGGGGACGTATCTCCCGCAAACACTGTCCGAGGGCCAAGGCAAGGTATGTATGCCCTGTTCTAGACGAGAGGTAATTACGAGGTATGGTCTTAAGCAGCAGATTCACCGCCGCGTGATGTCCTCTGTCCTCGCACGTGGCTATAGGTAGCGCCATTTTTATCATTTCTCTATCATCAATCGCAATACAGTGGTATAGTAATACAGAAAGCGTTTCTTGAATCCCGTTCCTTCGTGCGTCCAATCCCCCAGTTTCCGTCCTGCTCCCACTCTCAATCATGACTCCTTGCCCAGTTCCATGGCCAAGTCCCAACCCGCGTCGTCCTCCCACGTGGCCGCGCCCGAGACGTGTCTCCCCAGGTACAGACCCACGGCCGTGGCGACGACGGCGAGCATGAAAAAGCCATCGAACCACCTCTGCACCCACGCGGGCTCGAGCAGCCCCGCGCCCAGCGCCGTGTTGATCACGCTGCCCACCTCCTTGGGCATCATGCCACGGAGCATCAGGGCCGAGCTGATGACGTACATGTCGCTGATCTGGCTGATCAGGAGCGCAAAGTTGGTCTTGGTGGCGTGCAGGACCGACGGCATGAAGCGGGCGAAGAGGTGGAACGTTTGCGTCACGGCCGTGAAGGACGCGAGGAGCATGGCCCCGGAGAGGAGGAACGAGATCTGCTGTGCCCAGGACGCCTGGTCGAGCGAGGGGTAGACGTGGCGCGCGAAGAGGGCGATCGTGTACGTCACGGGGTCGGTGTCAGAGGAGGTGGTGGTGGTGGAAGTAGTAGCAGCGGAAGGAGAAAGGGTAGAGGCAGAGGAAGAGAGCAGTGTCCGCCGAATGATGTTAATGGTGGTGGTACAGATGCGGTAGACGCAGTAGCAGGCGAAGATGTGTGAGAAGGCCAACGAGAGTCTCCCCGTGGGGGTCGTGGCCTTGAGCTGATTCGCACGTCGGGCTCGGAGGATCGAGAGTGATGTCTCGAGCGAGGAGGCCATGGTCTCGAGCCCGGAGGCCTCCATCTCCAGCACATCCTTCTGCTGGTCATACGTGTTCTTGCGGACGGCGCCGACGGTGCGGCTCCAGAAGCTCTGGATCGGGCTGTGGTGGCTCTGAGTCGCAGGCGACATCGACTCCATCATACGCAGACGCTCCTTTTTCTCGAGGAGCATGTCCATGGTGGCGTCGAGGCCGGCTTGTTTGCGCGTGATGTCCGTGTCGGCGACGATACGCGCCTTGGGTCCAAAGCTCTGCCAGATGGCGCTGACGGACGCGAAGCCCGAGAGCAGCGCCATTAGCGACACGCCCGTGATGCCCAGTCGATCCAGACACGCTTGAAAGAGGCCCGACTGCCGCGTTATGCTCTCCGTGATGGTGAGGGTGGGTGCGTCGGGGAGGAGCGCCCCGATCGCCCAGAAGCCGAAGAGAAAGCCGGCGTAGCCAGCAAATTCCAGCAGCCACGCCAGATGGGCGCGGCTCCTCTTCTTCTCGCCCCGGAATTTGTAACCTGACTTCGCAACCACGGACGAGATGCCCAGCAGCGGAATGGCCACGACCAGTAAGCCCAACAGACTGACCACGGTGATCTGCAGGGCTATGCTCCTGGCCGTAGGGTTGAACGAGTTCGAAATCTCGCAGAGGAGCAGTTCCGTCAACACGGCAGAGAGGGCGATCGTGGATGCAAATGTAATGGCCGCGACACGGCGGGCGAGCTGTTGCGTGGCGGGCTCGGGCGCTGCGGTCGCTGGTCTGGGGAGACCTTTGCCGCTGCCACCGCCGCTGGGGGCATCCTGACTCTTGTTGGCGGAAGAAGTCTGTGACAAGAGAGGATACACCTTGCGGTAGGCGACGATGGTCAGGACCGCGAAGGTAGCGACGAAAGGAAGGGTCGAAAAGGCAGCTTTGCTCGTGAACCGACCCGGGTGCATAGACGCTGGGGTGCATTCGTCGCAGTCGTCATCGGCGTAAGTCGGCAGCATGGTGGGCGCTCTCGGACGGCGATAAGAGGCGCATGTGTTTGCGAGGCATGTTCTTACCCCGAGTACATGAGGGACCAAATGGGATAGAGAAGCGATTCTCGGTGGTGTACGGTGTACACAGTACGAGTAGAGAACTGAGACACAGACTTGTATGTATATGTGCCTGTGCGCAAGGGGATGGGTACGCAGTCACACAGATGGAGGAATCTGGGCTTGTGGTTATATCCGCGTTATCGATTGGGCGTCAGTGGATCAGCCCCGCCACCCCCGAAGATGATTTGCTGAGCTGTGACGCATAACGGCTTAACGGGGACGCGTCCCTCGTACCTCCTACTGGTTAATTAAAGGCCTCGTCTGAAAAGCATTTCTGCGCGCGCAGCTCACCCACCGCTCTCAGCCTCATTGGAATCCAATACCATGCGACTGTGTGCTGTTCACTCTGACTTGTGAATAATAGGCACATTCATGAGGTCGAGGACAGAATTATTCAATAGGTGCAATTAATTCGGGGTATCCACGACTCTATCCCAGTCCGACTTCTATTGTCTGCAGGTGATTCAAACAGCCGCTCCTCAGTGTCTTCAGCCTCAGAGTTTGCATTCAGGGGCTCAATCGATAGTGCGGAACGCCGCAACCGCGTCAGTCCTCCACACGCCTGTTCGCCGAAGACCTCTCGGACCTGTGTTCCGGCAAACGGTCTGGCTCGAACTTCCACACAACGAGATTCGAACTCAGCAGAGGCGCACATCTCGCTTCGCAGATATCCTGGGGAAGGCTTTCATTGCCCGCGAGGTTCGTCTTCTCCGGATCGGCCGTGTCGTGCCAGCGTGGTGATGGATCCCAGGAGGTCTCAAGGCTCATGTTCGACGGGTCGATCGATGGTGTCTTGAAATCCACTGCTGGGGGATCTGCGGCAAATTGCGCCAGCCGACTTTTTTATACTGATACTCTTGTTCATGGTCGAATTTTCTTCGTCGGGAGAGTGGATAGCGGGGGTACATGTATGAAAACAGCTACCATCAGATGATCAGTAGCTACCGTGACGGAGATCGACCGTGACTGGGAGCCCTCCTATGCGGTTTGTCACGCAAGATATTCGCCAACCAAGGTGTAGTCTCTCGAACGGATGGGCGCCTCTCGTCGACAATATTAGGCACCAGGAGACGAATATCCTCCGTATCAGACACGGCTGCGTCACTTTCTCTGTGCTCGCCCTGCTTCGACGCTGGTTTGGGTGATCTGGCCCGCTCGGTTGCTCGATCAGTATCGTCCCAATCCTCCACCAAGGCAGCCATGCTGGGGCTGTTCATGGCGAGGTCGGCTCTTGGGGCACTTTCCGTGCTCAGATAGCCTATGGGCAACGCGAAACTCCGCTCAGGTGAGTCCTCATCCGACGTCACGTCACTCTTCCCCGAAGTGACTCGAGTAAGCGGACCCCCATATGTGCCTTTCAATATCCCTCGCTTCGGAGGACCAATGGCCCTTTCCACAGCATCGGCTTCTTTCTCTGTGGCTTCCATTGCCATTGACGGATAAATGTTCTTTGCAAATACGTGGTTGCCGCCCGAGGTCTGGGCTTGCTCGAGCAGGTTGCTGTACAGACTGCGACCAGTTTCCATCTGTCGTTTCTTCTTTTTCTTCATTCGTTTCGAGCTGGGCCGAACGACAATGACTGGAACAGGTGATTGTTGTAGACAGTATTTGGAGACTGATCCGGGAAGCAAGCCCTGCATGCCACCCAAGTTTCGTCCGCGTGTCCCGACCACGAGCGCAGCAGGCTCGTACAACTGAATCTTTTGTGAAGGGTCAGCAGGCGGTCGAATCAAAAGAGTGGGGGGTGCAGCTTACCATGCGCTGGAAAATCTCCTGCACTTTGCCCACGGCCAGTTCCATAATGATACTGATCGCCTTCTCTTCCTGGCTGTTTTTGAGCATCACACTGTCAAGCAGTTGTTTCGCTTCTTTCCGATACTTCTCCCGGTCATAAGGAGTATCATGTGCCGTCTTCGAGTCCTTTTCGATCACTCGAAGGCAAACAATCTCGTCGCCGTCGTCGACAAGTTCGTCCATCATCCACTCCAATGCGTATTCGGAATAGTCTTTGGCGTCTGTGCCACATAGGAAGACACGACTCCGTGGGGTGGCAGCATAATCGCAATGCTTGTATTGCAGCGTAAAGGATTCGGTTGATGCGTCTCGGTTGTCGATCGTGTCGAAAGACACTCCGCGCTGATAATGGGTTGGAGGAGGCGGCGATGACATTCTCCTCTGCGACACCGAAGGTCGGGGGCCCTGGGCAACGCTTTCCCGCCTGATCGTGTTTTCAGCGTCGGCAGTATGGAATTGGACCGACGACTTGCGTCTTCCCCCGTCAACCTGGTCCGCGAGCCTCGGTCTGTGAGTGGCCCTGGCTGCGTCTTTCCACACCTGGCCGAATTTAAGTTCTTCCTCTTCCTCTGGTGCAGCGGGTGGTGCGTGCGCAGAGACATCCGTCATTTTATACTGCAACGAACGCGCGGGGTAGCGCTCGATCGGGTTGAGGTTATGTCAAGTGAGGATCAGCGGGCCGCCGGTACGATGGAGTCAGCTGCGAGGAAAGAGGATAACAGTGTACACAGTGGCTCGGTGGATGGATCGTAATAGCACTGCCACTCCTCATCGGGCGTGTTCTAGACCGTTATGTCAGAGCGTGTGGCCCGTGGTCCCGCCCCTTTGCTTGGTTCGTGATGATTCAATCGTGACAGAGTCGAGGATGATGCAAAACGACCCCAATCAGCCGGCATGTAGCTGCATCAGGTCAGAGGTGGAAGGGGAGCTGGTAGACTCCATCGCCGGCGATCAAGTATTTTCAAGGCGCGCGGCTGTGAACAAGCTTGGTATCTTGGCCTGCCTGAGGTATGGACTCCTGCTAAGCTGAAATGTTCAAATTGAGGCGAGGACTGCGGGGCAGAAGGACGGCGAGCTGGGAGCTAGCCAGAGGGAAGGTGGAGTAGCAGAAACTCTGAAGGGCGGGAGGATTCCGGTGCCAATCGTGGCCAGCTGAGCTGCGTAGAGGCTGGGGAGAACAAGGGAGAAGTGGGAGGATCAGACGGCTGAGGCACAATCAGAAACGTTCCTGGAGGATGCGATGGGTGTTTCCGTACTTCTGGATTTGGGTGACGGCAAAAGGTTCTTTCGAAAGCGAGAATGACTCTCGTGACCCTGATACTGCTCCGTCCTTCCGAAGAGAACAATACCTAGGTACCGGTACACGATCCCGCACCAAGAATGGAGCTGCCCTACACAGGCTCGACCATAGTACTCGTTCACATACGGTAGACGGCCACCTATTCTCTTGCTGGTTCGTTATGGTGATAGGAGGACCCAGTAGCAATGCTACACGGCTCACCCAGGACTTGTTCCTTTACTGCCGGGGTATCACAGCAAGCTCCCTGCCTGCCTAGGTAGTCGAGGTGTCACCGAGCATGTGAAATGACGGCTTTCGGTACCCACGTCCTCACGTTTAAACTCCACTCGCTCCGTGCTGAAGCATGTGATTTTGGTTTGGAAGGCTTGGCCTTGACCCGACACAGGAGAGCTGTGTTGAGCTCGTTCTTACGAGGACGCAAACGTGTTCAGTATCATTTGATACCTAGCAGGCCACCGTCCAATCTTTGCCACCCACTTGTCAGCGCATGCAATTGACCACGCGTTGTGCACCTCAGCTTGCCGACCTTCCCCATCACAGAGCTCCTTCAGACCCGCTGGGCATCACTTGACATGGCCCTCCTCAATACCGACTCTGCAGCCTGCCAACAGTGTTGATACAAGACAGTGGCACACAGAACCATTGGCCTGTCCTGCCTCTACAATGGATGTCTCGCTGCCATGATATTGCCCGTCCTGCAGTGCACATATCCCGTTGTCCCAGTAAATTTGGTCGCACCAGTCCCACTGCCCAAATCTGTTTATCCCCACAACCGTCAAAGCACTACCACTATTCGACGGGCAATCTTGCACTTGACAAGCGGGCCAGAGACCGGGATGCGATTTATGTCACCCCCAGGATTATTTCTCTCGGTCGGAGTGGGCAGATTTCCGGAATACATGATGTTGATGTCCCGGCCAATCGCTCACTTTTTTAGCTCCACGTAAGGGTAGGACACTCGGTCCTCCTGTAAGGACGTCACGTTAGTCGAGCAGGAACGAGCTGTGATGAGAATGGACACACCTTGCGCAGGGTGATCTTCGTTCTCTTCTTCGAGACTTGGTGTTCAACGAAGACCTCTTTGGCGTGTTGCGCCTTGAACTTTCGAATGAACCGTGGATCCCACAGCTCACTGGCGACTCCGAGATCTTTGCAACACCTCATCATGGCGTTCGACTTGCAGCCTTCTACGGCCGTAGGTATACCCTCTTTCGTAAAGTAGTCTTGCTCACCACGTGCGATGGACACAAGTCTGCGGAAGCGGTCAGCATGGGCCCCTTAATAGTACTGGGTCCTCCTGACCGGCCATGCGCCAACAACGCGTATTCTCTGGTCACTGATTTATCCGTGACAATCGTCTCGCCCCTGGGGGCTAATCCCCAACCCCCAGGTCCGAAAGCCTTGTTCAGGATCCGTCGGTATTTGATCTCGGGAAGGTATATAATGCCATCTGGTTTGATCTCAATGTCTTCTGGGTCTACCGGTGCTAGCAAGACAGCTGCCGCTTCTTTGGAAAAAGGTTCGGTGGAGAGGCCATGGAACGACCTGGTCCAGTCGACGTTTGAAGGATCGTCTTCGTGCAGTGTCAAGGGTTGGTCTTCGAGATTGTCGAGAGTGCGAGCCTTGGCGGCTACCGCAGGTTTCTGAGGAGGTGCTGCTTTGCTCTGGCCAGGGGTTGCGGCGGCTTCGGCGCGTCGAGATGGTGATTGCGTGAAGACCGTACGTAGAGGAACAGGGCGGAGCGATCGAGGCGAAAGCGAAGGGTATGCTAATGAGGTCGAGCGCGGCTTCGGAATCAACGCATTGAAAGCCTTGCGAGGAATTCGGCTTGCTGTTGACATCTTTCCGCGAGGATGAGTTGAAGCTCCAATTGTGGAAACGAGAATTTACACCAGAGATCTAGAAGGGAGATGAGATGAGAAAGCCGCCGATGACACTGCGCAACGCAACCGAACCCCGTAAGGCTTGGAGATGGCAGATCTAAGTAGAGTACACAGTAGATAATTGATGCTCGAACTTCCCGTGATCGCACCTTAAATTTGCGTAAAGTTGAGCCGCGTCGTTGCCGCACGTCGACGCCGAATCCCGTGACAAGGCCAATAATTTCCATCCATCAGGTGAAGCTGAGAACGTCGGGCCTCGATATCATACTCGCATTTACTTCTCCGACGACGCGTCCCTGCTTTGTGTACGTTCCTCGTTGCCCTTCCGCTTCCAACATTGTCTGAAAGCTTCCATCTGGCGCGAAAAGTCAGTGTGGCCTGAATTTTGCTCCGCCGAGGACCAGCCGATTAAGCGCGGAGAGGTCTTGCTCAAAGCATTGGGGGTTGGGGACTCAACACCTACTTCGGCTTTGCAAGCTCGCCAGTCCTTCTTGTCGTAGTAGCAGTCGTTCATTCGGAGCTGCTCTTCTGTCCCGCTCGTCAGAGTCACATCTTGCAGCTTGCTCTGACATTGATCTCGATTTTACCGGCACAGCCTGTACTGAATATCCGTTGGTCCCTGTCATTGTAGCCGAGGCATCAGCGTGGACCGATGTCATGAGTTAACGACCTGGAGTCCTTACCAGTCATCAAGCTCCTCTTCCGCTGCATCAGGCCGGTTGGAGTTGCCTTGTGCCGACATATTCTATCCTGGAGGTGGTGAACCAAAGTCGAGAGAGAGCCGAAATCTCGCAGAGAAAATCGAAAGTCCGAGGTCGTTATTTCTGACAGTATCTTCCTACCTCACCACCATCGGAATCCCATCAACACCCGACACCACAACCATGTCGAAGCGAATGAACGTCCTCGTCTACTCTGGTGCGCTCACTCAAGATGCCTGGAGAAGTAACCCCAATCTAATGCTGTCTTCAGGAAATGGTAGCACTGTCGAATCAGTTCGGCATTGTCTCTATACTCTCCGGAGGCTGCTCGCTCCCCACTACGCTGTCATCCCGGTCACTGGTGATATGCTCATCAAGGAGCCTTGGACAGCAAGCTGTGCTGCTGTTGTTTTCCCGGGCGGCGCAGATCAAGGCTACTGCAAAACACTAAACGGCGAAGGCAACCGACGTATTCGCCAGTTCGTCGAGCGTGGTGGCCTGTACATTGGATTCTGTGCTGGCGGCTACTACGGAAGCAAAAGATGCGAATTTGAGGTCGGCAACAGACTCTTAGAGGTCGTTGGAGACAGGGAGCTTGCTTTCTACCCTGGCACGGCGCGAGGCTGCGCGTTCCCCGGCTTTGTTTACCATAGTGAGAAGGGTGCTCGAGCTCCAGAGTTGAAAGTTGACAAGACGTCCCTTACTGTAGGGACTGTGCCCGACGTCTTCCGGTCCTACTACAACGGTGGCAGTGTTTTTGTCGACGCACCAAAGTACAGAGAGCAGGGGGTCGAAGTGCTTGCGAGCTATACCGAGCCCCTCGCGGTCGAAAGTGGCGAAGGCGCCGCTGCCATTGTCTATTGCAAAGTCGGCCAGGGCGCTGCGCTACTGACCGGTCCTCACCCAGAGTTTGTCTTTCTCGGAAAGCCAGCGGATGACTGGTCACTAACGAAGCCTAGGTTTGCTGCTGCGAACATTGAGCCGAAGCCAGAGGTTCCTGGATTCTCAGACGTCATCAAAGCCCTGGCTGGGGACGAGAAGCACAGGATGGATTTCCTCAAAGCGTGCCTGACAAAGCTTGGTCTCACAGTGAGCGACGAACAGAATGTACCTTCCCTATCCTACCTGCATCTGTCTTCATCCGACCCTGCCGACACCGCGGGGGTAATTTCTTCCCTCAGCCACCTCGTTGAAAAGGACGAACGTGGTGACGAGTTTCTCAAGGATGAGAACGACACATTCCAGATCCTGAAGCCATCCGTCTGGAAGATGGGTGATTTGATGAAAACACTACCCGCAGAGTCGGACTCAAAGGAACCTGCTGACCAGTCCGATGGCAGCTCCGATCGGATAGTCGATTATAACACGGTGCTAAAGAGGATCATTGTGCATGACGATGATCATCCTCAAGCGAGGTCGACTCCATACTTCAACCACTCCGCTTTCTATTCGAACCTAGACAGGTACCAGTCGCAGACGCCTGGCGCCGTCAATTTCGGTGCTCATTTGTTGTACGGGGAAGTGGTTACATCCACAAATACAATGCTTGAGAAGAACACCCGTCTCCTCCGGGTTCTACCGCAAGGCTTCACGGCAACTGCCACGGTCCAAGTCGCAGGCCGAGGCCGGGGATCCAATGTCTGGGTTTCACCTGCAGGGAGTTTGATGTTCAGCACTGTCATTCGTCACCCGATGGCCCAGATGCAGAGCGCCCCAGTTGTCTTCGTCCAATATCTGGCAGCCATGGCAATCGTCGACGGCATCAAAAGCTACGATGGCGTGCTTTATAGAGACATGCCAATCAAGCTCAAATGGCCGAACGATATCTTCGCCCTGGATCCCGGCAAAGCGAGAGACAATGGCGGTGACCGCAATGAAAATTACACAAAAATCGGGGGCATACTGGTGAACAGTCACTACAACACCAAGGAATATATTGCCGTTTGCGGCATTGGTCTGAACACGTCCAACGCCGCTCCAACGACCTCTTTGAACCAACTTACGCAATTTCTCCCCCACAAGGTCGCCCCATTCACGTTAGAGAAGCTACTAGCCAGGATTCTGACCGTCTTCGATGACCTGTACGCTCGATTCTTGGCGACTGGCTTCAATGAAGCGATGGAGCAGATGTACTACAAACATTGGCTTCACATGGATCAAATCGTGACACTTGAAGCTGAAGGCGGTCAACGTGCACGAATCAAGGGCATCACACGGGATTATGGATTACTTATCGCAGAAGAACTTGGATATGAAGACCGTGAGACTGGTCGGAGGTGGACCTTGCAGAGTGATGCCAATAGCTTCGACTTTTTCAAAGGGTTGGTAAAGGTGAGTAACAACTGGTGGACGACAACAACCACAAACCACACTCCGCATCACTTCGACCGAATAAAGCATGGAAATGACAGTGAACTGACTTTTTGATCAACAGAGAAAGATGTGATGCATACCTCGGGTCCATCAGTCAGGCATGGCTGGACTTTTCGACGACCGACCCTAATTCCCTGCCGCCACCAGCCGTATTGTCCACGATCGCCAGTCTCAGAACTGAATGCAGGGATGCGGGCGTGTGCGTATGATGTGGGTGTAGCCGACTCCCAGGCTCCAATCCCGAGTGGTCCTCCCCAGAACTGTACGCTAGATGCCGTGCTCCGCGCGCTCGAGATGCAGGAATTGCAGCCCTGATGCCGGCACACACAAGAAGCATGTTATCCAGGTCTGCTAGCCCCGAACCACTCAGCATACCACCTACGACACCCGTAGCAGGGTTCGACTGCAGTTGGACCACCAGCGGTTACACAACATGTCAGCATTTCTCGGATTCGACTAACATCCATTTGACTTAAGATCTAGTAGGCGACGAGGGTCTCGCTAACAACCTGAAAGATGAAAAGCGACAATTCTGCGAATGGCCTTGGAGCAGCGACAATCAAGTTACCAGCAAAGGCCGTGCAGTATTGTTCTGCAGCGTCAGTACTGGGGCAGACCCAGACGGCTGATGAAGTTGCTGTGAAGGACAGGGCTGCCTGGTTTTCCAGAGTTTGTCTATTGAAGAGCTGCATATGCTCGTCGCCCAATATAGCGACTGCGCGATGGACACCTTGGAGCTCGTGCACGAACTCGCCAATACTTGTTGTACGTGTTTGCACTTCGGAAAACGGCCCGATGGCGAACGTCCCGGTAGGCCATTGCCAACAGGGGCGCTTCCACGCCAAGGAGGTCTTGTTGAGCACATCGTTGACTGGCGATATCAAGGACGAAGGGGACCACAGAAGCTTTAGGCTTGGCGTCCACTGCGAGGCATCGACGATCCCGACTTTGCTCACCAGTCATGCTCAAGAGAGAACGTGAGGCTCCACGGAGTGCCTGCAGCATGATCCGAAGAGAAGCTGCAGCCAGGATGCTGCCGCATGGTGATGCAGCACGTCGAGCACGTCTACGAGCATGTCACACTTCCCGCTTGTGCATTTGCCATTGGACCCAGCTACTCCGTCTCTCGCGAGACTAGCAGCAATAGCCTCATCAGCTGCGAGCACACCGGGTTTCTCCCATTCGTCCATGACCCATGCGTGCTGCTGCTACACCAAAGTGACATGTCCGACGTGCCTACTGTGTATTCCATGACCGCCATCGAATACCGCAGGCCCAAACAGTGTTGTGCCGTCCTCCTCAACAAGTGTTTCCACCCTAGTACCAGTCCCCTCGGCGCCTGCTATACAACCAGGGCGTTCCTCTACTTCAAGTCCTGGAGCACTGCGCAAAGCTCGGAAGACGTGAGACCCCGCTCGTGATTGTCTACGTTGGCGGAGAGGGGACGAGGTAGCCCTTGGGTAATTCTGTTTCGGATGTCCTAGTACTCGGACGATCGTTTGCAGAGGAAGCTGGCTCCGACAAATTCGGCTTAGTAGCTCGCGTCGCATGCGATTAGACGAGAAGCGAACCTGGAACTGAGTGATCGTCTCGCCCTGGCCGTGGCCTGTGGCTCGAGCACAACGGCAGCCCGCGTGGGAGGCGTCTTCCGCCCGTAGTTTGACGCATGGACAGGACAACGGACCTCTGCGAGGCGCAACGCATGTCGAGGTAGTCTGCTGCTCTGTGATCCGAGGAACTGCGCGTTTACCCTCTTGTCCGCTGCCTCTGCTCGTCTGTGATGTGCGACGAGTCAAGTCGTACATAGAAGCAGAGGGGGAAGAGCAGCTGTACTGTGCTAATCAACTTGCTGGTGAGATGTCGACACCCTGCCCTTGACTGAGCGCTGCAGCAGCCGATCAATGCCCAGTCGAGACGCCATGGACATGTACACCAAACCCCTGAATCCTCCAAGAAGACGACCCCCGAGCGGGCTTGCTATTCGTACCGTGCAAAGGATCGCGATGGAGGAAAGAACCGGGCTTTGCAAACACGAAGGTTTGACGTAAGACGCAGCTCGTGCAGAGGTTGACTCCACCATCCTTGCTGCCTCTCTCAAAGCCGGCGGTCCCCACATGGTTCTGTGGTTCTGTGGTTCTGTGGCTTTCCAGCCGCTCGCCGCCTGTATCCATCGAACTGGTCGAACTCTCCGTCACGTACCCGTTTGGCTGACGTTGCCGACGCCCATCTTCTCCATCATCGACCTACAGGGACCGGCCCCCCAAGAGCCCCAGAACCAGGTGATTGGTTTGCCATAACGCCTAGCGTCGCCGGTCGTTCCAATGGTGTCGGTCCCGGAAACGCAGCGAGTGGCAATTGCTGGCAGCGTTGCGCTCTTCCATCCAAATTTGAAGAATTCAGTACTCGTACCTCGCACCGTGCAGACCTCCCAATCCTGATTTCTCCCGTCGCCAGTCATCAAGAAGCCTCAGCAACGTCGACGACTTTCGATCCTGACACACGGGCCCGTCTAGCCACGGACGGAACTGAGACGCTGTGCCGGTGCTTGAAAGGTGTCTGTCCGATAGCCCTGCCATCGCCTCAAAGACATGGTCACACTAGCCTCACGAGTCTAGTTGTCCTTGTCGCACCCCAGCCTTGCGCCGTAACCTTGCAAGACCAGGTTCTTGCCTACCCATGCTCAGGCCAAGTCATCCTGACATAGGGTCCCCCAGCCGTACAGCGTTCGCGCCGAACCAGCAGCTCCCCAGTCAACTAATCATTCCCGTTTTGGTCGAGGGCCTGCATCACGTCTCCCACCTGACGCAGCTCTATTGAGCGGCTTCCTTCACCGCAGATCCGGCTTGACCCAAAACTTTTGGACTCGATCCCGCATATGCCTCTTGGGGACCATAAAAGCCCGTCCCCCTCCATGTTTTGAACAAGAGGCCAGCGTCTTTTAGGGCAGCTCGGTGCGCTTGGGCTTTTCGCCTTTGTGCCTTACTTCAGTCTTGTCGACATGGAGACCGTCTTCATCACTATTCACGGTGAGCGTCGTCGTCGGGTTATCCCATTGCCATGCTAACAAGCCGCCAGATCTCTCGCAGGATGCTAGTATCAGATACTGCTCTGACTCGGTGGAGGACATCCTTGGCTATCTTCCGCACGAGGTGACAGGCAAATCATGTTGGGAGTATTTTCACCCCGACGAGATCCCCTTTGCACGGGCCATTCAGGGCCGTGGCATCAGTCTGGACAAGGCTGCTGTCATGAGCTACGCCCGCATAAAGCACAAGGACGGCCGTTGGGTCGGGTGTGAATGCTCGTTCACGGTAGTCTATGACGTCCTCGTGGCCACCACGGCGATTTACCGACGAGGCCCCAAGGCGAGGCGTAAGTCGAGCTCCTGCCGTCTCCAGGGCCGCCATACTGACTGAGCACAGAGCGGGCGCTAGACGGAGCCGGTGTCCGGCGCATCTTTTCGTCTTCGCCACGCGATCCGAGATACCATATGCTGCAGTACCTGTCCAACAAATTCTATCAGGAACCCGAAATCCATTCTCCAGAACCGAGAGCCGCGCTCTTCCTCAATCGGTTTTCGCGCACCTCGACCATCATGTTTGCCACGGACGGCCTCGCCACCATTCTGGGCCTGGAGCCGGCCGATGTCATCGGGAAGAGTTTCTATTACTGCATCGAGGAGAACTGTCTTCGGGACGCCGTCAAAGCCCTCGAGAGTGCGAAAGCTAATGACTCTATCGCCTACTTGAGGTTTTGGTACCGGAACCCCTTGCGGGAAGACAACAGGACTCACGCTGATTCCGTGGGTGATGAGGACGAGGACGAGGATGGGGGTGTCTCGCTGGGCGCCAGGTCCAGTGTCTCGATGACGGATGCTTCCACTCCAAGGCAGACCGAAGACGGCGCCCGGCTCTTTGACGCAACGACCCCCCTGGTTACAGAACAGTCCTCAGGGGTGAACCTTGGGCCGACGGCCGAACACCAGTCTTCCCGGCCGTCCGATGCGCAAGAAAGCGGTCGATCACAGACTGACCAAACCCTTGGGCTTCCCGTCGAAAACAACCTCACTATGGGACGGTCGAACTCGGATCAGAGTGCGGACCTTGATGCCAATGCTGCTGATACGATCTTCGACCGACCGGCTACTCAACGGTCGTCGTCCTCAGGAACCCCACCCGAAGATCCAAGATTGGAGATCGAAGCCGTCGTCTCCTGTTCTTCCGACGGGCTTGTTGTCATTCTCCGTCGCGCCAGACCACTCGTACCTCACCGACTTGGGGCAACGGAGGCACCGTACTATGCGAATGGCCTCTTCGCGTCTCCTTGGGCCCCCGAGCCAGTCATGCCTCCTTCCGCATACGAGACTGCTGTTGCTCCACCGGCCATTTCACCGGGGACAACGGAAGAAGAATCTGGCTTCATGGCCGCCATCCGCGACGTGGCGGTGTTTGCTTGGTCCCTTACGGGTATCAACGGGTCGCTCGCACAGTATGCCAAGGGCACGCCGTCTCCGGAGGCCCTGCCACCTGATGGTCTACCTATCTGGGATCCCAATGCCGATGTTGATCCACTAGCCAATGAGCAGTATAACGGCTTCCTGGGAAGCGTGCATCGGCCTTGGGCGGGACCGGGCGGGGAACTGGCCGAGGCGAAAAAAGACGACGAGTTAGGCAGCAGTGACGACGAGGTTCTTTGGAAGAGAGCTCCTACAATGACACCTTGGAGGCGGCCCAAGAGAAGAGCGCATCACGATGCTTTCGGCGAGGATGGCGTTGATGGCGTGGACGGTGAGAACCCACGGGGTGGGCGCAAGAGACCTACAAGGTCGAGTTCGGGCTCTGGGCGAGCCCCCGGCTCCGGAGCAGCGTCTACTTCCGGGCCGGGCTCATCCTCTGGGACGTCCTGAGGACTCGGCGGCGGAGCTCTCTTCCAGATGATACGGGCATGCTACTTGTAGTACTGTTTTTGGAGCGGTTGAGCCAGCACGAGTTACGATCCTTGGGTGACCACTAGTCCATCTCAAAATACCATGTCGAACCAGTAAAGATTTGGCAGGTGGGGTCTATTGCTTTCGTCCTGGGGCAGACCACCCCTTTCAAAATGGATTGTGACGATGTCTGGCAGAATATACTGCTGTGTGCAAGATGCTGTGTAGCATGGCGGGTCAGGGCGATTAGCATTGCTTTTCTGGAGAGAATAGGCGAGTGCGGACGGCAGCCTTGTCAGATCGTGCTCGCAGCCTCGGAAAGCTGGGCACGTGCCGACGCGTTGCCGACGCGCTTGGTCTTCGTAATTAATTACTTACATGTTTTCGTCACTTTCACTTTTCTTTCACTCGGGATGGCGCACATCAGTCTTTCTTCCTGACTCTCCACCTACGTACCTGGAGACGATCCTGGCACATGCTGTCCTCCATATCATCTGCTACCCATCATGCCTCTCAATGAGAGTAAGACGATGCAGCAATTCGTCAACAGCCGTACATCCGCGGTTCAGCCAACACGACCAGATAAGCGACCTCTGACGCCGCAGCTCAACTCGGGCCGTGAACGATCTCTGCAGCGTCAGGACGACTCCCGCCGCAAGCCCCAATCCGCCAGCCACATCAAACAAACCAATGTACCCCTCAGCCGAGAAGAAGCAGCCAAGTTGAAGATAGACGTCCCTAGTACACAGCCAAAGTCAAAGCTCGCACAAGTTACCGAATCGAATGCCACCCAACGTCCAGCCGCACCTCCTCATACAAACTTTACGGAACGAGTGTCAGAAATGGCTTCGCGGCCCAGTGTCAGTGTTTGCGGTTGTTTCAGTAGCGGAGCACAAACTAACTGTTCTCGAGGCGTTTGACGATACTCAGAGCATACACTATGACGACTCACTGAGCGTGACCGACGATCGAAGTGTACCCATACATATTCCTCTCTCCTACGGCCAAGGTCGGAACAGTCCACGTCTGCGCAGTGCTGGCCCGCCCATTCCTTCCTATCCCACCGTCCAACGAGAGACGGTAAATGCGTCTGAGGAAGATGAGTGGGGAATGGAACAACCCCCAGACTGGATGGCTGAGGTTGACGCCGAAAGGGAACGCCATGGTATGGCCCCAAAATATCGTACGCGCTTCAACCGCGACGTCTACCCAGTGCATCCTGCCGATGATGACTTCCAAGACGGGTCCGAACAAGATGGCGATGGTGATGAAGGGACGTTCCTGATTGAAAACACTCCTTCACGGACAAGGGTGATCCCCGACCACACGACCGCTGTCAAGCCTCGCGCGGCCGAGGCTCTGATGACGCCAGTCAAGGTCGAGGAAGCAGCAGACAAATCTCTGCCCAGACACAGAAAGTCGCTAAGCGACGTCGTTCAGACGACCACCGCCGACCCTCCTCTCCGTCAACAACTCATTCGTGACCGTTTCCATGTACACAAGCCACAAGAACCAACAGCTGAAATCGAACGATCCGGGACTCCGCGACAGCAACTCCACGCTCCCCAGCCACGTCCACCGCAGGTGCAAGCAGCACCGTTCTCATCCAAGGTCTCTTCTTACCACGAATCCTCGTCGGAGGAGGAACAACCACTTCCACCACCTGTATCTGATTCTCCACGACCGGGCACCAAACGTCCACGTCCCGCCCGAGATCTGGACTTCGACCCCGAAGAGCTCAGGAACAAGACCGTAGCCGAGCTCGACAGCATCCCATTTCCTACAGATCCGCGCCTCCCCAGCACCTCACCCGCCATGGATAGCAACGGCCAACCCCTGAGCCTTCCCGCCAAACTCACGAATCTGACGAAGATGCGGCCCGAAGACCAAGCCACGCTGTTCAAATCGCTGGACGACACAGAACGGGAACAGACAGCAGAATGGTTCCTCGAAAAGTTCAGGGAAGACATTGTCAAATTGATGGAGACAAGAGTCCAGCGGCGGAAGGTTGCATTAAAGTTCGAATTGGAAGTGAAGAAGAGGGAGCGGCAGGTCCGGGTGAAGAAAGGGGACGTCGAGGAGCAGCTGGCGGGCTTGAAGAAAGGAGGCAGCGAGTTGGTCAGGGGCAAGAGCCCTGCGAAGTGAACCTGCCCCAGGGCCGATGAACAGCGAAGACGGCATGATCGCATAAGTACAAGTAAGTATTCATGCCATCTTGATAGAAGGGGGTGCATCAAAATCCTGCCATGATTTTATGAAGCAATGATTGGACCGAGATCATGATTTACGACGAGACACAGATGTATCAATTAGAAGGAGTGTCTAGAGACAAGACACAAATGTATCAGTTAGAAGGACTGTCTCAGAGAGGAGACCCAAATGTATATATAATAGAAGGAGTGTCTTAGAGACGAGACACAAATGTATCAAATAGAGGGAGTCTCAGAAACGAGACAAATATCCAGCCAGAATGGGACAGAATGGGACAGAATGGCATGGGATGGGATGGGATGGGATGGGAGCTTCAGAGCCTGTCCAAGGATCGATCGCCCCCTCCTCATTTACTCCGTATAGCCAGAGTTGCGCTTTTACGAAGGCCAGAAGTATCATTGTTGTTACTAGTGTTTCACAGAAGTAGGTGCCGAATCGGCTGCATGGGCATTAATATGGAAGAGTTCAGGCAGGCAGTCAGTCGGTGTCTTTGGTACAGCACAGTAGGTACCGTAGCAACTCGCCCCCGTACGGAGTACACTATGTAGTACAGAGTAGATGCCTTTTACTCTGCCACTATCCCACTGTACTCCGTATACCGGTGTACCAGTATACCAGTGGAGTGACTTGACAGATGCCGGTTCCAGCTCCCAGGGTCTGTACAGTGTACAGTGTATAGGAAGGAGACGTCTGTCGGCAGCAGTGCGATTTCTCAAAACGTCAACAACCCGGCTCGAGGCTTGTTTTTTATAACTGGCTCAAAATACATATATCGCAATTGCCAGCTCTCAACCTGTCTATCACTTTTATCCTACCGTACTCCTTCCCTACGTTCGACGTGAATCCATGATTCATCAAAAATAAGCTGGGGTTTGGCCTTTTTCTCGAGACTCCTCCCTATCCTTTTGTTACATCCAGGTCCTCCTTATCCTCTAATTCGGCTTCATCTTCCTCCTCGTTCTGAGCACGCTGCACCAGTTTGCCCAACACCCTCGCTAGACGCTGGTAGTCGTCAAGCAGATCCTGCACCTCTCCTAACCTCAGCTCGCTCGCGTCGCCTAGGAGGAGGAATCGTGGGATCGGAGGCGCAGCTCGGATCGCGGCGAGTTCGGACTTGTTTGGTGTCTTCAATGGCACTTCGTTCGTTGTCTTCGGGGGTTTGCCCTCCTCAACTGTTGGGGCCATGGTGGTCTGACTGTCTTTGTCCACCACAATGGTCGGTGTAACTGGTGTTGGTGGCACTGAGGGTGGTGAAGCTGATGGTCGGGCGCCGAAACGGCCAAACGCACTGCCAAACGCGGACCCGAGGGAACCCATGGGATTCAGGCTATTGCCGAAGTTCTTGACCGTCTCAAGTGGATTGCTGCTGCTCGCCGCTGGCGCAGCCGCTGGAGCGGGCTTCTGCGCAGCTGCTGCGTTGCCCGGCACTGAAGGCCCGTTGGGAGGCGAATTCGTGGTAGCTGCAAGGAATCCTGCCCTTTTCCCGCCGCCGCTGGCGTTACTCTTGATGCTATCGACGCTTCGTTCTCGGATAGCGGCCTTGCGCCCGCCAAGCAGACCTAACAACTTTTCCTCAGTCTTCGTCAAATTCGGAGGCATGGGACTTGTTTGACCGTCGTGCATGGAACTCGATTCGCTGAGCGCGTGATCGTCTTCGTCTGGTGTCAGGGGTCGACTGACGAGTTGCCTTGCCTCGTCAAGGGTCTTCGGGACAACGACTTCGGTATTCGGGCCTTCGCTCCCTCTCTCCTTGAGTTTGCCCAGGAAAAATTTCAGGCTGTTGTCAAGGGTATTCGAGATGTTCTTGAAGCCTTCCTCGGCCGTCGATCGGACTGCTTCGTTGGCATTGGTGATTGGTTGGAGCAGATCGGATAAGGTGCGTTGGTGTCTCGTGGTGGGAGTCTTCGTAGACTTTTCGGGTAGGTCTTTGATGACCGATGCAGCTGGACTTAATTCTGCTGTGCCTGTAGCGTTCGAAGTTGAGGTGGCCGTTGTGGGGGTCGACGGTGCTGGCGCCGTCCCAGGTAGTGGAGGAAAGGCTTCCAACTTCTCCGGGTCCTGGTCTCCTTCGGATTGTGCTGGTGCTTTCGTGGGACCTTCTGGCTTCTCGTCCTCCCGCAGACTCGCCAGATCGACGTCCTCCAGAAAGGTGATTGCAGCTTCCAGGTTGGTCAGGCAGTAAGCAGCTTCGCCATCGATCCTGGGAGCGGCCCGGAACCGTTGGATGAATTGTAGATTGCTGATGACGTTGATACCCTCAATGGGAGATGTGATCAGGGTATAGATTAAAGTGGGCAGGATCTCGTCGGCCGAAGATGAGGAGGAATGAATTGACGAGAGGGTGTCGACGACGGCTTTGTGGGCAGTGGTGAGGTGCTGTAGCTTGCCCAAAGGATACCGCTCGTCGTTCATCTTGGCCAAACTCTCCCGTGCAGGGGCAAGGGAGGCTTGGACATCTTCGGCCGATGTGCCGCTGTCCTCACTCAATTCAATACCCAGATCTTTCAGGCCGATGCCAACAAGTGCCAATGCGGCTGTTTTCGAACGTAGCTTTTCGTCCCTGACTTCATCCAGGGTGCTTTTGTGTCTCCATATCTTGTCGTAGACCTTCTCACATACTCTCTTTTCCACGGCTTCTTCTAGTACAATTCTCTTGTATTCGAGGAGCTTCCTCTGTTTCCGCCGTTCCGTCACTTCAGACGCTGTAAGCATCTGTTGTGCGCCACCACGACCTGCACCCGAGCCAAGTGAATCAGGTGAGGATTTACTCGGTGCAGCCGGCGTTCGAGAACTGGCTTTAGAGGGCGTAGGAGAAGTGCCTCTGTTGAGACGGGATCTCAGAGTCGCAATGTGAATGGAGACTGCACCAGACGCTCTTGCGTAAAACTCCTGGAACAACTCGGCCAGCTGCTCGATGGCTGGCGGTTCATTGTATACTTTGGCGCTGAGCGACTCGACAAATCGGTCGCAGAGGCTTGCCAGCTCTATTGGCAGTTCATCGAAGCGTTCCGGAAGGCTGTTGGACCTGCCCAGATCGGGAGAGGGAGGTTCATTCTCCTCGGTGATAGACTTGTCAAAGATGTCTTCAGGCGACGCGTCCACTTTCTTGGGCGACTTCACGTCAGTAACAGACTGGATGGTGCTGGCTCTGCTTCTCCCAGTGGCGGAGGTAGGAGAAGTGAGAGAAGGCTCATAGCGCGTAAATGACTTGGTGGAGAGCGCAGATGGTCTCGCTCTCAGCGAGCCAGTAGACACGTTTCTCGACATGCTGCGAGAGGTGAATTGCAGAGAGAAGAATCGACAGCTGTCAGCCGTTTCAAGGCTTCCAGCGGCAAGTCATCAGAATGACATGAGGCTCAGAGGCATGTCTGCCGCACCTGAGACCAACCCGAGTGATCCGTAGAGATGTCCGCATGCGTGATGTTGCTCTGTTGACGGTCGACGAGTGAAGCGAACCCCAAGAGCATGTGCCATGGCGTGCATACTGTGCGTGGCAGGGATGTTCGCTGTTGCCCTCCGCAGTCGACGTCAGCGACTCCGATCATTGATTGGGATGAGTGGCCACGAGACCCTCGGGTCCGTTTCAGTCAACAGTCGTTCCTGGCTTCCACCCGACTTGCTTCTTCTCACACCCAGCAGGCGACAGCATGAAGACACGAAAACCGAGAGACCAAAGGTGCACTTCGCGCAGCCGGGTATCTGCTGGGATGTTGCTATCCTTCCTTGCCCTTGTGCCTGCGGCTGCTGCAGCCAAACTCCCCGCAGCCATCGATCCGTGGTATCCAGTGCCTCAACCGAAACAGCCAAACATCGACGACTTTACACTGAGACATATCTACCATCGGGGCACATATCGAGACCGAGACCTGCACAAGCGCTACGATTTCCACCCTCAGGCTCCCGTCCTAGTTACCCAAGACCACGATGATGCCCTCTCCCACTCTCTGCAGCCGCCACCTCACTTTCTGCTTCGTTCCCACCCGGAACAGATCGAAAGACTGGTCGACCGAGAACCGGCGAGTGTCGAGCAGTATCTCCAGCATGCTCGACGGACAGGGAGGCCTGCCATCCTCGACGCCTCACAATGGACGCTAGATGAAGTGAAGGGTCCCAATATCTCTGACAAGGATACAGTCATCAATCTGGCCATCATGGCTGCCAATGCATACAATCCAGGGCCAGGAGAGGGGGACTGGGAAGATGTCAAGCAAGGATACAATCGATCTACCCCGTTCGGGTGGGAAGGTGACGGCCTACGAGGCCACATCTTCGCGAACGAAGGCAACGAAACAGTCATTATCAGTCTGAAGGGGACGTCCCCCGCAGTCTTTGATGGCGATGGAACAACCACAAAGGACAAAATGAACGATAATCTTTTCTTCTCCTGCTGTTGCGCCCAAGGCGGCTCCTACTTTTGGCACCAAGTCTGCGACTGCCAGACCAGCACGTACACCTGCAACCGGACCTGCGTCGTGCAAGCACTGAGGCAGGAGAACCGCTACTACCGTGCAGCAATCGATTTATACACCAATGTCACAGAACTCTACCCGGATTCCAATGTCTGGCTAGCAGGCCATTCCCTGGGCGGCGCCGTCACGGCCCTCCTGGGCCAAACATTCGGCCTTCCGACAGTAACATTCGAGGCTCCCGGCGAAGATCTCGCTTCCAAACGACTAGGTCTACCCGCACCTCCGTCATCCGACCCTCACAAACCACGCACAAAGTACACTGGCGCATACCACTTTGGCAATACCGCTGATCCTGTTTTTATGGGCACATGCAACGGTGCCACCGCAACCTGTACCTTGGGTGGCTACGCCATGGAATCAGCATGCCATACGGGCAAGCAATGCGTGTACGACACTGTAAGCGACTACGGTTGGCGGGTGGGCATCGGTAATCACAAGATCCACAATGTCATTGACAACGTTATCAAGATGTACAAGAATGTGCCATCCTGTGAACCGGACGACGAGTGCGTGGATTGCTTCAACTGGAAGTTCTTCGACAGTAACGGGAGCGACTCAACCACGAGCACGAGAACGACGACGACCAGTTCGAGTACCTACACGCGGACGAGTACATGCAAGACGCCTGGATGGTGGGGATGCCTGGATGACAACCCTACGACAAGCAGTTCAATTCCTGTGATTACAACCACATACACGACCACGAGTTGCATTACGCCGGGCTGGTTTGGGTGCAAAGACCGAGTCAACGTCACGGTTACTACGACTACACTTGCGCCGACATCAACTCCAACTACAACTTCGGTCCCTGCTTCCCTTACACATACACCTTCGACATCGAGCTCGAGTACAACGAGCTGTGATCATCCAGGCTGGTGGGGATGCCGAGATCCTACTTCTACATCGACAACGACACACACAGCATCTCCCAGCCCAACCTCACCCAGTCCCAGTTCAACGAGAACGGCAGCGCCGCATAAGAAGCACAGATGCGAGACACCAGGGTATTTCTGGGGCTGTAAGGATGAGGAGCACCATCACACCAGCACTGCTCCGAGTACGGATAGCGACACGATCACTGGGGCGCCGACCGCGAGTGCTAGTAGTGTGCAGCCGTCGCAAACCAGCACGACCGACCATGGGAGGAGGCGGAGGAAATGTAAAAACCCGGTCTTCTTCGGGTTGATTTGCCTAGATGGCTATGAGGATGAGTATGCACCTGAATTATAAGTAGAGGGGAGTCAGGGGAAGCCACATTGTTGCTTTTGTGATTACGGCGTTCTCAGTCATGTGTGCAATTACACATCTGGGCTAGGTCGGCATGGGTCATTGGTTGATAGTGCTGGTATTGGATGAATTGAACATATTCTCGGACAGGCCAGCGAGGAGCATCGACTAGACTACCTGCGAATATACACACTCCTCTCGATGGGGCCACTCCGTCAGGCACGCGAAACCAAGGAACATAGCATCGGCCACGGAAAACGGCTAGCGTCCCTACAGACATATTGGTTCGACAGTGCTTAGTCGAGCGATTAAATGTTCATGTCATTGTTGATCGGGTGTCTTTGCACTTGCGCATTGCGAGCACTAGCCCGTCCTGCATAGGCGGTACCGTACTTGGACCGTCAGTACTATCCTCACGCCCGTCTTCCTAGACGTCGGCTTCTACCCTACCCAAAGCATTCAAGCTACAACCCCAACGGATTATCAGCCGTCTGCTTCTTGCCTCCCACGTAATCCGTGCCGGATTTGACATTGTCGCCCGCAGCCTTGGTGGTATCGCCAAGCTAAAAACGGTCAAGATCCCCCCATACGTCAGCAAGCTATGCAATACTTAAATTCTGCCCGTCTACCGTCTGTCTGCGACCGTGCAACTCGCCCTCACGCCGGATTCAATGAAGAGAAGGCGAGGGTTCAAGACTTACGCCCTTGGTCGCGCCCTGGGTGGTCTTGCCGAGGCCTTCGCCCACACCGGAGACGGTGTTGCCGACGGTGTCCTGCCGTGTGAGGTTAAGAGATTTTTCTTTACTTGTGGTGGTGATATGGCAGCGTACGTACGGTGAGGCCCGTGACGGTGTTGCCCACCGTGTCGGTGAGACCGCCTAGAACGCCGCCTGGCGTGTGAGATCAGCTTGCTTTCGGTTCTGGTGTTAGGGCACGGTTGGGCTGGGTTCGATTGGGCTGCGCTGGGTTGCATGTCTTCGAATGGGAAGGACTGGGGGGGTTTGAAGGCGCGGTGGTCCCGCCAAGTAATACATTCACTTCATGTTTTTTTGGGTTTGGGGCAACGTCGTCGACAAGAGGTGGAGGTAAAAATGAAATGGACGGTCGAGTCGACAACATACCGCCTTGTTTCTTTTGCTGATCCTGAGACATGTTGGTTGTTCGTTCTGAGCTGGGTACTTGGTTGTAATGAGATTTTTCACACAAGTGATTAAAGCTGAATTTTTGAGGCTTGTGGAATGCGAAGAAGGGGGACGCCGTAGACAAGGATGATATATACTTCTTACCTGGCACTCCTGTTTCGCATGATCAGCATAACCTTGGAACGGTCGCGTCTTGTGTCACTCGAGGCCTGTGATCGAGAGGGATGATGTGGCTGACGTCAATGTTGGCGGTTGTCGACCCCTCAGTGCCACACTGGTCCCCGTCTGGTGTATGACAGGGTCCAGGTTCACGGGCACTTGTGGCTACTCGTACTCGTACGAGTCGGCGGCGAGGACAAGTGGCTTGCCCGAGGTGATGATCCTGATTCACAGACCCCGGTCATTCATTGAGAGGGATCAAGCCAATCACTCGACGGCCTGGTGCTTGAGAATGAGCAAGAGGGGCCGGGATCAAGGAGAGAGGAATGAGGATGATACTCGTAACTCGTACCAGTATGAGTACCTCTTACTGGTTGAAGAAGACTGGGTGGAAGAGACACTCTGCCACAGATGACGTAGTTCTGGTTCAAGTACGGAGTACTCGTGCTTGACTGAGGAATCACCACCACGACCATGTAGATGTGGACAATGCCATAAGCATGTTTTTGCCTGACTTAGAGTTGAGCGCTCAATGGCGACGAGAATATGAAGCTGTCGTGGTGTTAGTCGGCAGATTTCATATCACAATGACTTTCTGACGTCTGCGAAATGATGGCCGCACCGCAAAGAGTATCTAGGTGGCATTTGCTTCTAGATGATCGACCCCGAGAAATCGTTGGATATACTACTGATGGAACCGTGGTGGTTGTTTGACTCGGTCGCTAGACGCTCGTTCGCGGAAGACGTTAGCTGATGCTTTGGCACAAACCATTGATGGTCCAGAGGAAGTCGTCATGAAGTTCGATAGGAGTCACTGTATTCCGCGGAATATCATTCAACATGGAACGTGCGTCAGGCTCGATATGCCGTCCAGGCGGTGGCTGGTTGTGCTTGATTGAAATGGTCACTGAAATACCATGGATCCGAGGGTGAGGATTGATCAATCGTAATCAAGGAATCCCAAATTGGAGCGACACGCCGCCCAAGGGCGTAACGAATGTAATTATATCTAATTAGCCAAGGCTCATAGCAACATCCTCTTGCACGCTGAAGGTTCGGTGCCCTGGAGCATCTCGCCACTTGTCGTGGAGGTCGTCTTCTGGTCCATCACGACTGTGATCACTTCTCGTGCTGAAATGACCGGTGTTCCTCCCACTGGAGCTCTTACTGTCGCTCCTGTCTCTTCTGGAGAACCAGCCGCCAGATTTCTTCGACGCCGCAGACTTTGTGGTGCTACTAGCATCATCGGGTTTCGAATCGGTTTCAGACGACCGTTCGCCAGGCGGTGCGCCGGCTGTGATGGTCACTTGGGAGTCTGCCAAATTTTTGGCAAAGTCCTTTGCTTTCTTGACTCTCGCTTCTTCCGTGTCGGAAGAAGGTTGTGCAGGGGTACCACTGGGAGTGTCCTCCACGCTTGGTGCAGCCTCGACAAGTTCTGCATCTCTGTACCACTTCCGCCTCCTGGTATACTTCCCCCAGCCATCTTCTCTACTCCCGTCTTCCCATCTGTTGTCGTAATAAATCCAGCCTCCACCGTCATCAGCTTTGTCTTTGCCGGCGGTTGTTTTCGCGTCACTTGCCACCCGCTTGTGCGCTCTCACGTCCCCGTGTTCTATCCTCCAATCCGCGTCGATCCACCTCCATCGTGACAGTCCACCCTCCACGTCCGGGAGTTCGAATTCTTCCTTGGATGGTGCTGGGTTCAGGTGCTCATCGGTCCATGGCCCGCGCTCGTAGGCAAACAAAGAGGTTGTCCACCCAAGACCCAGCCATCTTCGCTGGTTTTCGTACAGTATGAACGTGAAACGGACACCCGAAGTGTCCGGCCTCCTCTTCTTGGCAGCCTCGGTTGCGAGAGCGTCCTGGGGCTTAGACCTGGGACCGCTAGTAGGACCGTCCGAGGAGTCGGACTTGGTACCAGGCGAAGTATCAAACTCCAGTCCGGTCACAAACACGGCAGCTTTCCGCATGAATACGGAACGCCAGAGGATAACCCGAGACACCCGAGCCGGCTTGGAATGCCATGTCAATGCTATCGTGCCAACAGCCAGAATGACTCGTCGAGGAGTTAGTATATAGAAAGGAGGAAGGGTCAAGATTATCCAAAAAGGGGTAACTAGAAGTACACGAATGAAGAGTGTGGTCAATGCAGGTCGAGTGGTTGCGGCAGTGGGCGTCGTTTGAGTCGAAAGAAAGTCGGTGAGGTTGAGGAACGGATCCAACAGGATATTACACCGAGTGGTCAATTCCTGCAACGTATCTACGATGTCGTCCAGGGTCTTGTGGTGAGACTGGGACTCTGAGACATCCCTCCTGTGACCCTTCGCAGAATGCTTCTCTCCCGTCTTGGTTGTCGACGACAGGGGCGAGTAGCGTCTGGAGTACATGCCGAGGATGAGACCGGCCACCACTATGACGGGACTGGCGAAGCGAATGATTTCGCTACCGTATAACGTCAAGCCCCAGAACACAGCGACCATCAGGTATGATTCCCATGGGTCCGGCGTACTCCATGACAGCAGACCGGCCAGTTTATTCAAGGGAAGTAAGAACGGATGCGAGTGAGCGAGCGCTCGGGTGATCTGAGGCGGGGTCGCTACCAGCAATGGCGACTTCTTATGGACTATGATCGTGGAGCGTTGCTTCGACGTGGCAGAGTAGCCGGACGTGGATGTCGGAGAGAAGGCAGCATATGTCGGAGGGTTTGAGTCCCAACCCTGTTGGGACGAGGGCTCGGTCGTCGATACAAACGAGGACGGTCTGGACATTGATGTGATCCAGGGCGTGTCTGGAGAATCATGAGTACGACTGGGGAACTGCTAAAGGAAAGGGATGTAGTCCCACCAAACGCTGCCATACACTGGAGACGTTTTGGTCATTGAGCGTGACCAAAGGTGAGTGAGGCCGCGGTGCGGAGTACTGAACCACTCAGTTGATGATGAGCTGATTTCTGATGGCCTTGCTGTGCACGACGGAGGGAACGGTATGGTCCCTTGTCCTAAATGCTTCACAGAATTCCCCAAGGAGACCGAAGTGAACATGGACATGGCGAGACACTGCCAGTGGGAAACGCATGTGCGCACCGCAGGCGGCGGCCAAAGCCATGCACGCCGTCATGCTGATCCAACCGTTCCGTCGGTGACCAATGCATGCAAGTCATCCGCGCTGCCGCGGTATGCAGAAGCCTGTCACACGTGATGCGCAGAATCCCAGCCAAGTTTAGGCGAGGATCTGCCGCGTTGGAGACAGAAAGCAAAAGATTTCCCGCAGCTTTCACAAAGCACTGCGTTTAGACAATTCGCCATCGACTACCTTGCTGCCACCTGCCGCGTGGACTGTGTTACTCTGGCCGACGGTGATCAATGGTATGCCTCCTCGCTTCCCGGATCCGGCGTCCCGCAAGACTGACTGTTCCAGGCGCATCGAATCATTGCCCAGATCGTCCTTACAGGCGGCCGAGTCTTCGGAAGAGCTTTTGCAGAGGCATACAAGCAGGCCCAGGCGTCATCACAATTTGCGCGCGCTGCGGCAAAGAACGATCCCGGCGCTGTAAACACTGCGGCGGCCTCTGGTATGACGCTTGACGAAGCATGCAAGATTCTCAACGTCAAGCCTCCTCAAGGCGGCATCACGAATATGGAAAGCGTTATGGAGAGATTCAAGAAGTTATACGACCTTAACGAGCCCAAAAAGGGTGGCGGC